AGATATTGAACACTGTAAAGCAAAATATTCTGGCATAATCAAGTGAGGATATTTTCCTATGAATAGATCTATTTAAAATATTATATGCATTGAAAGCAGCTGTTCATAACATTGTAAAATCATATAAACAAGACTGGTTTAAGTCTAACTTAACTCCAGGGAATCTCATCAAGATAAGTGTATGAGGTAGAAGAATTAGACATTGAGAAACTATGACATTGTCGGACGGCCTGAAACTAAACGGCGACAGCGCCGGGTGGTCATATAGACTAATGTTGTTTTATGTTTCTTATAAGTTTTGTAAGCACAGACTACATAGTATTAATTTTATCGCTTCTTGATAACCCCTCGTATTGTGTCACCTGAAATCTCGAAGATTGGTTAACATCGTAATGCATTAGTATTGCGAACCAATATTTAAACGATGAATTTTCATTTTGGATGTTGTTGGTCGTATATCAGCACTTAACCGTGTCGAGAAATAAAACTGATGGTTTGTCGGCATGGCAAGGCGCTGTTGTACTACCAACGACATGAAAAATAATTATTTATTGCCTATATATGCATTCTCTACCCGTACCTTTCTCCCTAAATAAAAGTTACTCATCATAAAATTGGAACCTTTTAGAACTTATTAGGACCAGTGACGGAAAATCAAAACCCTTTTGACAATCTTGCGAAGAAAAAAAGTGCAAAAATTAATTTCAAACGATTTTCTTTTTTTTCCAACAATTTAATAGGATTATACTTTTCGACGAATTGAGCATGAACAGTGTTCAGTAAAGTGTTCCTTATGCATCGAAAGTATATGTAGTTTGTTTTTGTTTATATTATCTATAAAAATACTCGTAACGAATCAGTTCCATTCATGTATTTTGGCTTTTTTTCGTCTTAAAAAATATTAGTTTTGATTTAATTTGTCATAGGTTTTAATTCATAGATTGAATAAATATAGTAGAGGATTTTCAAAATAAATTAAACTATAATATTTTCAAGCTGTACATAGTTCACGATGAAAGAAATAAAAGTAGGAAGTAAAAAAAAAATCATGAAAACGTGTAACTGTACAGAACAAAACACTCATAGAATTGAAACACATGCAGGACTGTCGGAATTGATTAATTAAATGAAATTAAGGAAATCTTAGTTTCTTAATTTACTATTTACAGGACGGAAAATTGATGCAAAAATAATGTCTTTGATATTTATGTCCGGTCAGAGAGAGAGAGAGAGAGAGAGAGAGAGAGAGAGATCGAGATCTATTCTTTGACAACCTAACATAAGAGGGTGTGAAGTTATGAGAACTTGTTTTAATAAATAGGTTTTTACTGGTTACCACTTTGTGTCGTTTATATAAACTACATCTAAAGATAAACATGAGATGACTTTGTAAATAAGTAAGTCCTATTGTTAGCGGGGTATATTGAAAATATTCAGTGATGAGCTTACTTTAAATAGTTAGAGGTTAAAATCATTGCGCATATAAATACATGAATCAATCCCACCTTACAAATGAAAAGAAGTTTTGCAGTGTTTGCAATAAGAGTAGGTTTTGTATTATCTTGTAACACTTGAGTCTGATAAGGACAGTAGCCTACTCAAAAGATATTATTTTCTATTATTACATGTATTGTCATGTTTAGAATCATATGGAGTCATATTATGTACTGAAAATGAATTAAAATAGCTTTTAAAAGATATACATGCATTCTACCTGTATCTGTATATTCTCATTCATATACATTTTTTACATAATTATATAGGGTTACAAAGTTCAATTAATACATTCTTGAAAGGTAAGAGTACCTCACTTTATTAATTCTTTAAGAAATATTAAATATACAAAGCGCATCATTTCTTTATCTTTCCCCTTACTTTATTTCAAACTACCGCAATATCTTTCTCTTTTTAAAATGATAGCCCCTTTAATTGAAAAACACCTTTGTTATACGGGAATTCATGCATTTATATCTATTAGATAACTTATCACTCCTGTTACCAGGGGGTCTAGTAGATTCCATTGCCCCCTTTTAGGAAAATATTACCGCCCTTATCAGGTCTTGGTAATTTAATGAAAATGCAGTCTGTGATGAATATATTTCATTGAAAGTTGTAAAATTCAAGTTTTGTAAATCTGTTTTTGCTTTGAGTACAACAAAAATTTAGAGCATTTTTAAAAAATATGCTATCAAAGAATTCTTATAAGAAACTTTGCAAAATATATACACTAAGTACAAATTAACTTTATTTTCTTTGTGAAAGTGTAAAAAGTAGTTTATTGGTGTGCTTTGCTAACATTTAATATTTAAAACATTCATTGAAAACTGTTATTAAAGGTGTTATATTTTGCAATATATTTGTTAAAAGCAAAAAATGTATGCCAGATGGAGACTGAGAAAATTATATTCTGGAAGACTATATAAAATAAGTTTCTAAAGCGGGGAGGTCCAAGTCAAGTCTGGTCACATTCATATGGGTTAATGTAACCAATGTATTAAATGGAAAATTTAGAGTTATGCTGCATTTATATTTAAACTGAATGCTTACGATGGACATCGAATATCATACACCTATTTACTAGCTATGAAGGCAATAGCAAGTTTATTGTTCCCACTGGGACATATGACGCTCCAAAATCGCTTCAAAAGCTTATATATGTATGGAGAAAGTATGTTTTTGAACTAGCTACATATTGTTAGGTTCCTGGTCTGAAAAAAATTGAGATATACGATATAGAGCTACAGTGTCAACCATAAAACATTAGAGAACCCGTTTGATTTGATTTTGTTATTATTTATTGTACGATATATAAACGGTATAGTTATGCTTTTTATTATTCAATATCTCATAAGAAAACGATTAAATTAAGAAAAATATTTTGCTTACATTTTATGCTGAATAACTTCGAATTCTAATATAACACCTTTTGGATAAATAGAGAAAGCCGTAGTCAATTCAGTATGGAAATATTGTGCTAACAATTTATGCTCACCTGGCTTGATGCGTGCGCAATACGCGTATCTCGTCAGAATCAAGTATTTAAATAGAGATCATGGTAAATTTATATGAGCATGCAATAAAACAAATACATTTTATCTTATGAAACGTATTTATCATGCCATATGTCTGCCTCTTACATGCAGGATAAATTATGTTGACATAATTAACTTGCATGTTGACAATAATAAGTGATAAATATTATCATGTATGTAGACATAACTATCTTGCAATTGCCTGTTAACGTAATTTCTCTTGCACGTAAGTGTCAGAAATATGCCACTAAAGGCAATAGATCACAAAAATGAATGCATAAATTTTTTTATTAACCTGTCATTTATTTTAAAAAAAAGTGCTGTAAAATCCTATTTATTTTCATCAGTCATATGCATGTTTCAGCAAAACTTGTACTGCCCTTTGATTTTTTGCTGAATCCTATAACTTATTCTCAGAAGATTCTTTGTAAAAACACAACTTTTAATACAATTTTCTGTCAATCTCAAACTATTCATTTATTTGAAATAATTGCTAAATGACATTACAATATATGCAAAGCCAATCATCAAAAATGATTGTCTCCTAGACTAGGCAACGTGGTATCTTTTACTAAAGCTTATTCATGAGACCAAGAAAAAGAAAACACGTGCTGCTGGCTTCAAACCGACATGTATCGAGGACGTTATTTCAATTAACAGTAGTTACTTCCATTCATATGTCGTCTCGATATATATCCTAGTGAACTTGAAATAAAAGATACCACAGATTCTGACACACTTGTTTCTTAATTGGATATTTTATCAGAAAAAGACGTTATTGGTAATCTAACAACAAAATTTAATGGTAAACATAAAGACTTCAATTTGTCTATCGTCAACTTCCCTTACTTGAGTAGAAGTATACCCTTATCACCTGCATTATATCTCCCAGTTAATTCCATGCGTAAGAGTCTACTCTACGAACGAACCATTTTTACTTGTAAAAAAGGTTATGGTATCAAGATAGAATTTGCGAAAAGTTGATTTCAAACAAGATTTTAGAAACTAATTTATCATAGACTTGTATGCTATTAGCCTGCCTCGTTCCAATAACTGGTTGTACAAAGCACGTGCTCTTGCATGTCGAATCAAACACAAGACAAAAGCCCCTTATTCGGATGTTAAATGGTATGCTGCTACATAAAAAGGGGGAGTTGACAATAGGATTATAGAAGTTATCACGGTATCATACAGTAGTTGTTTGGTCATTAATGCTTTTCTCTAGTAAAACATCTAAATATACAGCAGATGTGTAAATGTCAGAATCGTGAGGTCTTTTTTTTTTAGTTAAGTGGGATATATCAATCAAGGTACATGAATGAAAATAATCAATCAATTGTCAATTGTTAATTGATAAATCGTCATCTATATTTAAAAGGCAACAGTAGCAGAGAGCAAGAAAATTCTATCATGTAGAAGTTTTTGAATAATTTCTCTTCATAAAAATTTTAAAAAAGCTCTGATAATAATTAAGAAGTTAAAAATTAACACTTCAAGGATGAAATTTTATTTGAAAATGAGTATTTCTCATCGTGAATGGTTTTCAGAGAAAGGTTATCAAAATATATCAAGTAAACTGGATTAGTTGACAGAATGAAAAGAAACTTCCAAATATTTGTCGACACCGATACATGGTTCCCTAACAATGCTGTTATCAGCAGTCAGTCCAAAGCATCTGCCTGGTCTGTGGAGGAGTGTGACTGACATCTAAGAGAACTAATATTGTTTGAAGGACAGATGTTATTAGTGAGTCTTCCATATACGGCAGAGAGAATTCGGATTAGCTACCCTACTTCACACTGAATGTAACCCTTTTGTCCTTCACACAATACAAATGCTTGCCCTTAAAGACACGTTTTACGAGGGTCGTTAAAAATTCCATGGACTTGTTGCATAGAAAAAGTATTTGACAACATATTCATGCACAAAGTCACAAATAATATTAAAGAATCTTTACTGATATGGTCATCAAAATTCCACACCAAAATTCTGTAAATTGATCTCAATTTTGGGTGATTTGACAGGACATATCACGAAGTCACGGTGCAGTAAAATCTTCAACATCACGGTCACGTCTAAATTCCTGTTTGCTATTTGGAGACAGATGTAGGAAATACCCTGGTTTACTACACATTTCATCAAGCATATTTTGGAGCATTACGAATAACTTGATAAAAGTGCGCTGCTCCGTCAAATCACGAGACATTTTGTAGACGTTTTCATAGGAATTGTATAGGAGAAAAATCACTGTTTCTATTAGTACTTCAAATATAATATCAGAAATTGAAATACATTATAATAGAACAATAAAAAGATACCTTTGAGAAAATTGTCAAATGATATTGCGAAATATAGAAATTAAATGAGTAATAATTTGGATTCCTCACGTTTGTTTTTCCAAATTTTAGTCATGCTCCATACATCACTATCAGTTATATCAAAACGACATTATTTCTAGGAGAAATTATTCAAAACACAAATTTAAAAAAATATATATTTTTATTTTTAAGAGATATGTTTCTGTGAAATTTCTTTACTATTTGACGTCCGTAAGAGTATATAAAAGTATAGTCCGCGTAATTTATGAACGACCCTCGTAGATTTATTTAAATCTTTGGCGTACACATATTTAAGTTCTATCAAAAAAATATTATAAGGTAAATGTGATTGTTCAAAAGCATTAAGAATTTGAATGGAAAAATACAAAGAAATATAATTTACCTGAATAAGTGCTCCCGTAATGTGTGGGTTTCACCGATGTCGTTGTACTTGAGATATTACAATTACTCGATGTGGAAGACTGAAGTTGTGCCTATTTAATCAAAGCTTTCTGTCTGGTTACAACGTTCAAAAATACCTTTCAATATATGAGGGAATTCTTTTATATTCCATTTGAACAGCTTCATTAGTACTTAAATTTCTTAAATTGCAACTACCTTATAAATTGCAAGACTTAAACACTTGTACAATCAAACCATAGGTAATAATACTCACTACCTATCTCTAATATAAAGACATGTTTCAATTCTTGTAAATTTCATTTTTAACAACCGTTCCTGCAGCTTCAGATACGACCCTAAAACGTGCTACTACACCTCAGAAACGAACCGTACCGTTCCGTGCAAGAAGCGTACCGTACCGTGCAAGAAGCGTACCGTACCGCGCACAAAGCGAACCGTACCGTACACAAAACGAACCGTACCGTGCAAGAAGCGTACCGTACCGTGCACAAAGCGAAACGTACCGTTCACAAAGCGTACCGTTCCGTGCAAGAAGCGTACCGTACCGTGCACAAAGCGAACCGTACCGTTCATGAATAATTTTTTAAATAATTATGCAAGCCACGCCCCGAAAGCATTCCGAATCTTGCAATGACCACAGTAAGTAATTTTCTTTTTTATTTCTTTCGACACAGCGCCCGTTAAAGAAGAACGGAAATAATCCTAGAGATTCAAAATATTATTATAAAGTACCATACATCTGGACTTATATCTGTTAATATAAGGAAACTACTCAAAACTAGTTACGACTTCAAAACAACTCGACAGAGTATGAGGCGATTCTTTATTCGCTATGCATGATCGGGTTGTGCTTGACTAACATTTTTTTTTTCATATTAAATGCAGCATCGTAATATTTTCGTGTACAATTTATAATAAATAAAAGTGAATTAAATACTTTATCTTTTATTTCTATAGCTTTTATCTACCCTATTCTTGTCGCTATGAACGTTCTCGGAAACCAAGACACATTGAAACATGCATTAGGATTCTGTGCTATTTTCAGAAACCAAGCCCTTAAAATCATTTTTTTTATTCATGTAAGTAATAGTTTTAGGGAGATATGATTACAGATTTAGCAACAGCAACAATAACAAAATTTCAACAACAAAAAAAAATTACGAACTAAATTGTCAATTTGAAAGCGGTCATGTTAAAATGTAAACGCCTCTCGATCACTAGAAAAAAATAAATAAAGGCGATGTATATATAAATAATTTGTGTTGGTTTACACTCTTCTGACCAACTCAAGATGTTATTGCCAATATAACATACTGTCAAAAAGTTTGATCGCCACATTTTCGCATGGAATTTTCAGTTTAATACACGTAATCAAAAAAAAAAAAAAAAAATCATAGGCCTATATGTCAGAATTAATTTTTATTTAAAGCATTTTCCCATTTCATTTGCTTTACTCACTGAAACCTGCAGGTAAAATGTGTTACCTGGAATTTACACATAAAGCCCAGTTTAATATTTAAAAAAAAAAAGCTTCGTCCGTGCATGCGTGTTCAAGTTTTTTTTAAGAAACACGGTACATTTCTTGCCATAGTCTCGTTATCTAGACTGACGTCTTTCTATACTTTCGTTATTTACTCTAAAACATTTGAAAATTTCGATCAAGTATTGTCTTCACACGTGCACAGGTAAAAACTTGAGCTGTGTATATTGAACAGTATCTAATCCCGTTAGTCCAGATATGCCTACACTCACACGTGTATCAACAGTTTGCTGTCTCTTAAACAGTAAGTCTAAAACAATGAACCAGTTTTAATCAGCATATATAAACAGAATTTCATGTGCAGTCAGCTTTTCTTCTAGATCTTCAATAAAAAAGTTTGAGTTTGACAAGGAAACAAATGGGGGGGGGGGTAGCACCCGACATGGGCATATTATTCATTTTCAAAGTTTTTGAGGACATGCATGGCTTCATATTATTTATTTTCAAGGTAATTGAAAACGGACTATTTATTTCTAACATTTTGACAATATTTATTTCGGAAATCTGTCTTTGCAGTCAGTATACATGTATATTATATACATTTATACATTGTAGATGGAATTGTAGCTGTCTTAACCGTTTTCTTGATTGTAACTTCCCTTCAAAGAGCGTTTGTACACATATATGGAAAATTTATGTAAAAAGGAAAACAATTACGCGCACAAAAATAGAGTAATGTTTTGCACTAACTGTGTGCACTTCTACCGATTTCATTTCAATGTATTTTTCCTAGCGAGCCAAACACCGAAGAAGTCTATGTAAAAAAATTATAATTCCCCGCAAATAAAAATAATAACTTTTTTTATTGTTTGTTTGATCATTTGGTCAAGAGAAAAAAAATTGTTTGTTTGTTTTTTTAAATGAAGCAACAGAGACAAGAACGTAAAAAGAATGGTAGACGAAAAGAAAACATGAGGGATTTATAAAATCAGTCTCATTTGTTTAAAAGTGTGATAAGTGAATATTTAAAATAATAATTATATTCAATTAGGAAAATTTAAAGGGAAAAAAGCATATGTACGCTTATTCTTAAAAAAAATACAGAAAGGCCTTTTATGGCGACGCAACCAAAATATTTTTTTTTTCATCCTTGTTATACAGTCTTTGTTGATATGTTCGATTTATTTCCGAGTTACTGAACCACAAGGCGATGGTGTACAAAATAAGATAATAAATAGACAACTAAAATTATTTTATTTTAAAAATTGAAAGTAGTTCATACAGAAAGTAAATTAAAAAAAGATAGAGTTATTAAGACGACTAGTTACGTGTAATAACAAAATGCACCTGTAAAAAGGAAATATTTATAACAGTTTAAACTTAAAAACAACTTATTAAGAAATGCTTGCTACATCGTCCTTCCATTTATATAAAATAAAGAAATTATAATAAGAAATAAACGACCTTATGAAGTAGCCAATCATAAACTGAAGCATACAGGCTCCGCCTACTTAATTTACATACCGTTCACCAAAGCGTACCGTTCACAAAACGAACCGTTCCGTGCAAGAAGCGTACCGTACCGTGCACAAAGCGAACCGTACCGTACACAAAACGAACCGTACCGTGCAAGAAGCGTACCGTACCGTGCACAAAGCGAACCGTATCGTTCACAAAGCGTACCGTTCCGTGCAAGAAGCGTACCGTACCGTACACAAAACGAAACGAACCGAACCGTGCAAGTGGTGTAGTAGCACGTTTTAGGGTCTGTAGTTATTTTTTTGTGATCGTTATATATGAAAACAGAATATGTCAAGTTTAACTTTGTTTCTTCATATTATGAATTCAGATTGCAATAAATCTAGAGAGTAATGACATTTTGAACCTGTAAAAAAGCTGTAATAGACACAGTTGAAGTTAGACTTGGAGAACCATTGTCATGCGCAGTAACCTCTAGTTCCAGTCTTCCATTAGGGATCAAGGATAACTGGTCACGTGTCAGAGGGTTAACGATCCGGATAGACCCAGTAGTACTGTTAATGGTAAAATGTCTGTCTAAGGTGTCTGGTCGGGGAAGAAGGGTGTAGGTAATCAAACTGTTAGCTGTGCGAGGTTCATCGTAATCAACTGCCTAAAATTATAATAAATCATAGCAAGTGAGCTTACTGTTTACATTAGTCAGGTAACTACATATCTTCAAAGAAATATAATTATGTTTAAGTTACAGGAAATATTTGCTTCAAATATGGATTTCAATATTAAACTTTGTCGTATAAAATTCCGGATCCGCCTTTTTGCATTTTTGCTTGTAATATTTTAGCTTTTGAAGAGTTTATTAAAGACAATACATTTGACAATAACATAAGTAAGCAGTAGCAATAAACAGCTGTCAAAGTCAAAGCTGTTCATGGCGGCATTCCATCGTAACATGTTGCGAGACGAATGAAAAGAACAAACTTTAAATACTCATTATCCTTGTTCTAGTGCATATAAACCCTGAGATATCTGTACACATTTCATGTTCACTTAGATTATTCATGGACAGAGAAACACAATAAAACTACACGTCGCCCCTGATGCGCAGTGGTTAAAGCGTGTGTTTTACATCTAGAATCGCTGAGTAAAAGGAGTTGCTATTTACGTCACGGGTTTGAATCACACTGTGGGACGTAAAGACCGGTCCTTCGATAAGATGAGACTGTTAAAATCGAGATCTTGTGTTGCAGAAGGTGATGGTGTACAAAATTAAAGAATCCCTCACCTCAAAGGTCCTGATTGGCGAGTACAGGTCTAAATTTGCAACACTCTACCGGCATTGTGGTGTCTCAATATAAAAGTTCTCGATGGAACGTTAAACAGGCAAACATGAAAATGAAATGATACCCCCTTCCTTAACATTTTGCAGAGGTAAAAATATATGGATAAAAGGTTAAATAATTCATTGCTCTTTTGCCATACCATTTTGAGTTGTAAGAATCTGTCGATATACCAAAATTATTGATCATATGACCTACATGTACAGTGAAGTTATTCATTCCTGATATTAATGAAGAATTTTCCGTAATCCCAAATTCATATTTTGGCTGTAAAAACATCGGACTGTTATCGTTTACATCCATGAGTGTTATTTTTACAGGAGCAGACGACACCTTTCCTCCACCATCTCTTGCTTCAACCGACATTTGATAAACTATCTGTCTTTCCCTGTCCAAGCAACTGTTGTTACATGCCACTGATATTTCTCCAGTCTTAGAGTTGATGCTGAACCAAGAATTAACATAAAATTGTTCTCATGTTTGGTGAAATATGTTAAAAAAACTACTGCATAGGGGTTGAGTGCTAATTATGTGCCATCAATCATTATTTCTAAGCTAAAAATTAACAAACTTAATTTAATAAAAACAAATTTACTACAATAAATAATTAGAGGCCATGGCATACATTTTGTAAACAAGTTAATTTTTTTTAAATTTTAGCAGTATAAAGAAATTCACTTTTAGAAGGAGACCCACTTCCACCCAACCCAGGATTGAACTCTCGACCTACAGAAAATGTCTCCTAGCAATAAGGGAACAGTGTGCTAGACCGCTCGGCCATCTAGGCAAGTTAAAAACTTGCTTTCGACGCCGATGGAATTCTTGCAGCGCTGCCCTACACTACACGGTCATTGAGAATGGAAGTGAGATATAGTAATTTCAACATTAGGTTTATTAGAGGATCGTTATCGATACACATTGTAATGAAATTAACTGTTCCTGTATTGCTAGGAGACAGATTCCGTAGGTCGAGAGTTCAACCCCGGGTTTGGGCGAAAGTGGGTATCCTTTAAAAAGTGAATTTCTTTGTGCTCTCTATATTCATATTTCTTCACTTAGGGCAGTTATGTTATTTTAAGAGCTGTTGTAAAATGTGCTTTATAAATAAAATTAATTTTATTACAATGTGTATCGGTAACAATCCTCTAATAAAACTAATGTCTATAACTGTGTCTCACTTTTATTCTCAATGACTTTGTAGTGTAGGGAAGGGCCGCGGGAATTCCATCGGCGTCTCAATCAATTTGTTTTAACTTGCCTAGATGGTCGAGCGGTCTAGCGCACAACAATACATGGGAGAATGCTAAAAAAAAAAAATAGAAATTAATTGTCCTCCAGAAATCATCAATATTTCCTAGGTATGATCAATAATTTGATTAAACATCTCTCTATAGTGTCTATAGAAAACTCTACCTGTTGCTTCCTTGCAGATGGTATGTGATTTCGGAATATTTCCCAGAATCGGCATCAGTTGCCTGTCAATTAACAAGTCCTTTTTAAGTAAAACATGATTGAAAAGTAATTTACAATGACGTTACACGTTTAATTGTATACATCTATAAAGCATGTGATTTTCCCTTCCATTTTACCCTCCCAAAAGAATAACTTAATTTTAATTGAATCATTTAGAGCAGATAGTTAAGATTTTTTCTTGAAATCTTCTTATTCAGAATATGTTTTAGATATTTTTCGGAAAACTTTGTTGAACGTTGAATTCATTGAACATAAATTTTACCAAAATCTACATTTGTTGCAAACTCAACCATATACAGCATTTTCGACCACATTTTCCTGGAATTTTTTGCTATTTTTGAAAAAATAGCATAGAGATTTAAAAAAAGTATATCGCATTCGTTACATTGTAATAATAATTTTAATATATGTACTTAGGTATTTAGAACTTACCTTTATCTCTGTGACTGTTGTGTTGAAAGAGCTGTTTTCAGGAAGAGTGAAGTTTTCCAATGTGTTTTTGAAGATAGGATCGTTATCGTTGGTGTCGTTGATTGTAACGTGTACGGTACAGACACTGAACATACTTGAATCTTTCTTGTCCTCTGCCTTTATCTTAGTTATGAATCAACAATATGTATATTATCAAACTAAAACTATGTTGTTTTCATGTGTTTAACTTAATAATTATCTAAGGTAAAGGAGAAAAAAAAAACCCAAATGATGCATGTATATTTACTAGAGTATTCAAGGAACGCTTGTGTCTCCTTCTTTATAACATTATTAAATAAATAAATAATTTTTATAATGGTCAGCTATTTATTTGTTACAAGCATCTAAGATCATGTCTGTGTCTTAAAAATCCACGGATGGAAAGACTATCATAGAATCAGAATTATGCCCCCCCCCCTCAAGCTTAAATGACTAACAAATTATCTAAAATAACCATTTATCACTTTATAATGTGCTTTATCCAACAATTTTCCAAAAGAGATTTCAGCCTTTCTTCACTGTATTGTCAGTCTACAACCACCCATTTTGGTATACCGTTCTTGATTTATCTTCGTGATATTTAAATTTCAGTTTGTGTGGTAATTCTATATCAAGTATTTTCAAATTAAAGTGCAGTGTTATAAGATCATAAACATAAGATAAAATTGCTAATTATCAAAGCCTTGTCGCTAAATATTAAAAAGACGTTAGTTAAATTAACTATCGGAGTGACCAGCATATTTTACAAAGTATGTCAAAGGATTTGTAATGCTGGTCTTTTTCATTATATTTTATTACAAACTGTGCACATGCTAAATATAATAAACATACCTCTAATTTGTTCAAAAGAAATATGCTGTTTAGCGGCATATTAATATATATAATAAAATAAATCATTGAATTTTTTGAAAAATACATCAAGTTCAAGGGTCAAGAGGTCGGTAAGTTACAAAAAGCCATAGTGTCAAGCAATACGCGTGCAAAATATCAAATGCATACCTGTTACTGATTTCAAGGTATAATGTGTGACATACAGACAGACAGACAGACAAATCCTGATGAATTAGATAAAGTAAGTTTAAAATACTTACTATTAAATCAATTATTGAGTGTTTTTCATAATCAAACGTAAAGTTATTCGTCAAACGAAGCAGGAAAGTCCCCTCAGAGGACACCAAACTAGGTGAAGCCACAATATCATTGAATTGTATATTACTGTCGTTCGTATAAACGTGGAGTTTGATATCATTGCTTCCCATCTGTAATTAAAGAAAAAAAAATAATTTTGTGTTACACGTCCCTGAAGTAGTCAAAATATAGTAGGCTTGTGCAGCAAGAGGATGTTTTCTGTACAACATACAGTAAAAAGCCCGACTCCAAATTTTGCCCAGAATTTAGATGCCTCATTATTCGAATTTCTCTCCTAAGTGATTTTAAATACATGTATAATGTCTGATCTTTAAAAACATAAGGTAAAATCTATTATTAAACCATGGGGCTAAAATATTTAGTAAATCATGTATTTTAAAATATATACACTTTGATGTTTTCTCTATCTGATTAATTTCTGGATATAACACGCTATTTGATTGGATAGAAAATTATCGTACAACTTCCTTGTCTAAGTCGCAATGGCTTAGGTGGAATCAATCCATCTGACGTTACATTTAAAATATTTTTTTTTTCAATTTGAAGACATTCGATGAATAACTGTGAATTTTTACACTGCATGATAGAAAATTAAATTATAAGAAATAAAATTTAAAAAACTACATAAGTTACACTTGTATAACCTTGGTTGGAACAGTTTTTGTTTTTTGTTTTATTATCTGCTTTGCCGTTTATAAAGTGTAAACTGTACCGGCCAGGTAATACAGTATAACTTGGGTAGCTATGAAATTCATTCATTACAAAGAGTGTATAGAAAAAATCCTGGCTTACAGAGGAAAATCAGTTTGTACCGTAAATACCCATATTTGTGTTGTGACGTGGCAGAAAATTTTCCTATCGATTCGTTCTTAATGGCATCAAAGATACGTATATATACCGACTTTAAGATTCTTTTCATATTAAACCAACAGTAAAAACAATATGTTTGAAAAAAAATGGTGGGGTAGCCCCACTGCACCCCCTTACGCTACGTGACTACATGCATTTACATGTGACGATAAAAATATTGGCAAAGTGTAGTTACTTATATCGATAGAAATTTGTAGATAATGGTAAATTGCCTATATATTTTCCAAATCTTGTGCAGAAATATAGCTTGCATATACTTAATAGATTTCATTAAAAATCATTTCATAAAGAAAATAATTTACTTTGATCATGCATTAAAAAAGAAACTTTAAAAAAAATTCTCATTATCCCTTTTTTATTACCTGGTCAATATCTTTAACATAAAGTCCATCCCCAGATATTGTTATGGGGATATCCGTCACGTTTTCTTTTACAGAGCCATAATAAGTTGATTGATTAAATATTGGTATGTTGTCATTGACATCTTCTATGGTGATGGTGAATGGTTTAACTGTCTCTGTCAGATTGGTGGGTTTACCTATAACCTCTGAGGCCTAAAAAAAAATATTAACCAGTATTTTCACTATACTGAGGAGAAATTTTGATATTTAGTCTTTTAATATGTGAACTACATACTTACTTTCACATTTACGGTGCAGACTCCACGTAATTGTTTTATAGGTCCATCATCTCTGTCCATTGTCTTGTTAATTGTGATATTACCAGTATTTCGATCCACAGAAAGAAATTGTGAGCAACTTTCTGTACCTGGGATATCAGCAGATAAATTTACACTTTTTTTTCATTTATGGTGCCATAAACCATATAAGAAGAAATTTTAGCTAGGTTTCAATTAAGCGTTTTAAGCTTAAAATTTATTCAACATTAGAATTTACCTGTATTTTTCTTTGCACCATTAAATCGCTAGAATTATTTCTCGATAAAATTATATACTGATTTTTTAAGAACATGCATATCCCTAAATTTGCGTCTCGCTAAAAATTCTACTTATACATTATTATTAAAGCTTATTTGATACCGAACGTTCACTTATTTAAAGAATGAAATGTTTTGTTCATGCGAGAAATAATGGTTACAATTATTGTCAAAAAGTATAACCCGTGTAAGTGGATTCTGTAAAAATAATTTCTGCAATGGTTAGAATCGTGTTTCCGCATTAACAAAGGCAAACATCTTTTTGTTTATTATGTCTTTATAAATAAACAAACAATGTAATGTTCGTGAATAAAATTTAGTATAATTAATATGTTTATTACGGTATGTTTAATTAATGGGAGGGCCCTTTGTTAAAGAAATCTTTCTTACAGATGGCATTGAAAAAATGTGTCTGACTATTTCACAGTCCATAGATTGTTTAAGAGAAGTGGTTTTCATAAGAAATAAAAGGAGAACATATTCAGTAGATGTTTATATTATGCTATTGTCGAACATTGATGTTTAATAATGATTTAGAGAAATTTAAGTTGTGTGACTTTTCAATACCTGAAGAAAAACTGTATGTTATATTATTTGGTATACCAGTGTCCCCATCAACAGCCAAAACTCTGAAAATAGTTGTCCCCTTAAAGATAAAAAAAAAAAAAGAAAGATTATCATCAATTGTTTAAGAGTCGAACAATTCTACAGCTTGTCAAGGAGATCTTTAGGACTTAAATTAATGTAACACTTAATTTTGAATTATTATCAATGAACTCTTTCTGAGAATGATAGGCTTGTCCACATGAAAATATACTAGTAATTCTATCAGCATAACTTTTAGCAAAATTCCTCCTTGGTTGCAATAATGGTTGCACATTTTTTTTATGTCCATGTTGATAAAAAAAAATACCTGATGGTTTGAATTTTAAAAGATTTACCACAGAATGGTTTTCTTTAATTGTTGTCATGTATGGTAATCCCTGGAAAATGGGTGGTGTGTCCTGAACATCTAATATAGTAATCAATAAGTCTGCCGTACTGGTAAGTGAAGGATTTCCGCCATCCTAACGAAGATACACTAAAATGTTTATCGTGTTTCAATAAAGATTCCTTAGGTAACCAATATTAAATACCATGTTTCCCTTTATCTCTGGATGGAAGATTTGATTGATTTCATGTTGTTTAACGTCCAATTCGAGAAATGTTTACTCATATAGATACATTCTATGGATAGAAGCCAAGACCAATAACAGAAAACGATGAAAAATTATACGTAAACGAGAAATTCATCATTCTGTCCAAGCAAATGCATGTAATGTCATCCAGACACAATTACAAAATTTATTAGATGTGAAAAACATGAATACTTTTTGCTCTATGATTTTAAAAATGGAAAGAAATGACATTTCATTGCTACTTTTTACGTATTACAATCAGTTATGAATACTTTTGTCAATTTTGGCGGAAAACAGTTTCCACTAATTCATAACAACACTAAATGAATTACACATAAAAGCTTAATAAGAATATTATAAATTGAGCGAAATCAAATCTACGCTAACTTTTACATAAATAAATTTTCTCCAAATATACGACACGAAGAATCAAATCATTTTCAGTATGTTTAATATTCCGTGTTTTTGTGTGTAGCAATATGTTGGTTCCAAAAAGAATAGTGGCCTTTTTTCGCTGGGTTTACCCATCGCTGAGTTAAAGCATACTTCCCTTTTTTATTGCATGTATATCATGTGAAGTAAATGCATATCACTGCATGTATTCAATGTGCATGGAATACCTTGCATTTGTATGTATATTTGCGTAGTGCAGTCGTATTGTTGGAGAAACACCTTAAAACTAATAGCATCTATTTGTGTATACAAAATAGATGCCTTTATTTTACGAGAAAAGTATATTTGCAGGGACCTATATACTAGTATATAGGTCCCTTGTACGTTGGCTTTTAAGAGTCGGGCTTGGATGACACAGCAAGTGTCTATATAAAGGGTCGGGTTTGTTCTTCACATTCCTTTCTGCTGAACCTTTCAAAGGTAAAGACGCATAACAAATGCTTGCAAAAAATACATCAAATTTTTGCTTTGTAATTTTAAAAAATCGTATAATTTTCCATTTATGTATTGTTTTTCAACCATTTTAAAGCTTTTATTACTGTTGATGTTTATTAAATAAGGCGGATGATGTTGGATTCAAAATTTTTACGCAGCAGACGACGCACACGCGGTTATGCCAAAAAATAATTAATTTATCATTGTATTGTTATTAAATGATCAAATATTGGTTATCAACATTAATTATTGTCTTTTTGTTTCATACTGCGTCGAAATCGGAAAATGCAAACCCAGAATAGGGGAACAACAGTATGGAAACTCGGTCGGACCTTTTTTGTGGACACAGTGAGGATGGGTCAAAATATAAGTCAAAGAAAAGAAAAGCAAATAATCTGTGAACCAGTTGGAAAACCAGACATTGAATATACGTATCATCACAATCCAATATATCAGGTACATCCAACACCTTTGAAATACATAAATCGGTGAATGTTTATACTTGATTAATCTTTGCCATTGTAGAATGAGACAAAAATATAAGCAATAGTCTGCTAATACAGTGTATAGATATTGCTTCTAAAACTCCTTTCCTTAAAGTGTTACTTTTCAAGCTTAGAGTGTAGAATTTATTTCTATTTTTAAAGAAAGGGGGGGGGCTTACTAAGGAAAAAAACTATTAAGTTTCAAACAAAAGTACCGGAAAGTCAAGCTGAAAACAAAATGTATATAAATATAACTACCAGTAAATCCTACAAAATTATGTCACAATAAAATAATCTTTCAAAAATACATTCAAATCATATTTTATTTTTACCATAGAATTCTCTCAAAATAAGGTTAAAAGACTTACATTTGCCTGGAATTGTTCAAAACTAAGGTCAAAATAATTTAGATTGTGCATAGATGCTATTGTTAGGTGCACATTGTACAGCAGCCTTAACTTTGCCATTTGTCCGGTTATATTAGTAGAATGTTCTGGACCTATTATACATTTATATTAGGTTTCTATTTGTGAGAGGATTAAGTTTAGTTTTTGTGTAAATTCAGTTAGTATGTAATATAACAGATACAATGTTCTGTGTAATTGTAAAGTAGAACTTGGTGAATCTTTCAAATCCAACTATTAGGCACTACTTACAACAGGGCTCAGACTCAACAATGATTTGTTTGGAGAAACAATCAATTTATGAAAGCATCAGAACCAAAGAAAGCCCTAAAATTCTTGTTTCATGAAAGAATTTGTAATTAAAGTTAGAGCACTAGATTATAAAAATAAATAAATAAAATATCTCTAGTGTGTGATGAATTTAAATAAAAGGGAGAATGAAACCACCTATCTTGCCCAGAGAAGAGTATTGTTATATTTATTTAAATGCTCCAGAACTTTCCTGGAGTTCAGTGCTTTGTATTCATGAAATTTTAGACTAATGTTGTGAAAAGGAGGCTCTGATATATAGGTAAGTCATAAGATCAGTTGCATATCATAAGTTGTCACAGATTTACACTCGAGTTGAGCTTCCAACTCAATATATATGACTTGAAACGGGGGGATCTTAATTGTGTGGGGTCTGGGAGCAGTAAACCTCTAGAAAAGGCCTTTCTCAAGTCTTGTATCTTTAGGTGCTCTCGTCGAGGATTCTATTTGCTAGCTATTCAATTGAAATGAAATGATCTTGTAATACAAAAAGGGGGGATTTATCATTGTTAAACCACATAAATTATCAATCTCATATTGATTAAGTTTGAATGAAAAGGAATATGCAAATATTTTTATATTAACATCCATTTTGTATTACTGGAATTAGGATATCTTTGTTATGATCCTGTAGAGTGGAAATGAAAGGTTGGAAATTGCAACATCTTGCACAAGAATGTTTTGTGATCACTTATTAATGAATACATGTATATCTTAATGACCAATTATTAAATCAAAAAAGTAAATACAGTCAAACCTCATTGTATTGAACTTATTGGACAAGAAATAACTTTCAATTGAGATGACGGATATTTGAGATGTCAATATTAGAATGCTTGAGGAGTAGGTGTCAATCTGAAGTAACCATTATATTTAAGATATCAGTGTTCCAAATACCAAAGTTAATATTACAATTACTTCTGTAAAGCAATTAAAACTTGTAGAACATTCATCAGATTGTATGTTGCAAAATGAATATATGGTCTTATTTTAACTATATTTAGTTGTCTTTAGACATCAGAAGTGACCCAAAGAAAAACTTTGTCAAGTACATGTACCTTAAATTCTTCATAATGTAGCGATTATTTCTCAGAAGAGTCCTAGAAGGATGCTTATATTTTGTAATTTTATACAGATAATGCTGATTGTTTGACTTCGGGCATTGGGCTTACATTTTAAGGTGTTTGGATCTGAAACTCCTAACAGGGTGCTTATATTTTGTAATTTTGTACATGTATATAATGCTGATTCTAAGACTTCAGGATGTACATTTGGTTTACATTTTAATGAGTTTGGTTTTGTTTTTAATCAGAACACCAGAAAAATATAATTTCCTTTTTGGATCAAGTCCATACCGATAGCAGTACTAGTTATATTCAGGCTCATTGCATATGAAAATATATCTCCAATTGGTGTCATTAGTAGTCAAATATCTATGCCTAAAAGAATTTTATACTTTGCAATGCATTTTGTACTGCACTGGAACAATATGGTCATGCAGAGCTGTATAGAGTTCTGATGCACATACATGTGTCACAGGCATTAATAATGTTTATTGAAAGACTATTTATCAGAGGTAAAGGAATTAACACATAAATATGATTAGTTGAGTATACTAGTATTGCAAGCATCTGTAATAAAATTGCAGCCTAAAAATCACAGGTTCAAATTGGCACTGTCAACTTGCCAGATATCTTCATTGCAGCTAAACTGGTTATTGGTAAGTATGAATTTGAATAAACTTGTTACATGTATCAGGTAATGTATCTTTTTCTAGGAATATCATTAAGACCAGTATATATTTTCAAAATATCAATATTGTTATAATTAACAGTTCTACAACCATTGGTAACCATAACTAAGTAGTGTGATATATTCTTATAATTGTGTAATCTATATTTGGGTTGGGAATCTCCCGAGAAACTTGCATATTTAGGTATCAATAGGAATATAGTGAGATTCAACCTTGAGACTAGAGTTTTTGAAATGTGATTAAGGATTTCAAATAGCTCTGCTTAAAATTGCTAATTAGAGAGTGTCACCCTCGGTGACAGGAAACTTGGTTCATCAAATACATGTAGCAGCATATGCATTGGCTTTCCTAGCAATTTTCATGGATTGAGAATTATGCTATATGTAATGATAATGAATGAAACTCCCCCTATTTGGTTATAAATCTCCAGATATTTGTTTTGATTAGTTACAACCATGTATATAAAACTTCTCTTGGCTAATGGACAATTCAAAACAAAATGAACAAGCGATGGTAAACTTTATGTAAAGGCATTGCAAGGTGGCATATACATCTGTGAAGCAGGATATAGTAGGGAAGTTTCTTTCTACAAGACCAAAGCTTTATTAAGCATATAGGGAATAGATTTTCCTGTTATTTCCCGGTCATGACAAGAAGCACACGGCGGGTGTGACCGGTCGGCAGAGGATGCTCACTCCTCCATGGCACCTGATCCCACCTCTGTGTTTTAGAGGTCTGTGCACATGTTTGCTCTGCTCCACATATTTCGTTGGCAAGTTTTGATTACTTAATGTGCTATAGCACCTTTCTTAATAGAGGAAAATTCAAAATTTATTCCCAGTCTGCTGAAGGATTAACACGTGTGTAAGTACCCAGCGGGAAGGGGGGTCTTGGGCAGTATTGGTCGTGGAACAGTTGACTTGTTTTTGCTTCCCCCAATGTGTGGGGTGACTGCAATCTGTGCCAGCTTGCAGCCATGTGGCGTCTGCGCACACCAAGTCAACTGATAACTGAATATTTGTGTGAAACTTGTACTGAACTGTCACCTTGTTGATATGCTAATGCTAGTGTAAACTAAGCTAATAAGCTTACTCTTGGTGACAGTGATATATACTTTAGAGCTGTAATATATAGTACAACTTTGAAATATGAAAAAGTTTGATATTTGAAGTTTGAGATGTTTGATCTATCAAGTTTGAGATATTTGATATATTATGTACAAGATTTGATATATGAAGTTGATATGCTTGATATTTGAAGTTTGAGATATGACTTTGATTTTGAACAGTTTGTATGTTGATTTTGAATAGTCTGTATGTGTGCTGACCCTCCGCGGTAAACCCGGGACGGTTAGACTTTGAAACACACATGAAGTTTGAATTTGGTGGGATTGCCCAGTTGAAATGGCATCCCACAATGTTTGTATTTTCTTGTGCCACGGCCAATACTCGCCACAATAAATAAGTATAAATTCTATACTGAGTTTTGTGTCATTTTCTCTGTATAAATAATGTGTAACTATTTTTAGAAGATACAAGTTTGAAATGTGTTGTCGGTAAAGATGCAGGGAATACCATATTCTATCGTACATTTTACAGCGCTTTAGAATATTTTATGTCGATCGAAGTTTTCTATGCATTGTTCTTAACCAAAATTATGCATAAATATATGCTAAATTCAATATCCCAGAAAAAAATTGACAAAACAAATTAAGTTTGGTAATCTCTTAAAATAAGATGAGATAAGACAAAAAAAAAATTCCTTAACTGAAGTATTTCAAGCCTAAAGAGTACCAATTAAATTGTCCACGAGTTATTCAAGTTTTTAAATCAAATAAGTTTTTAAAGCAAATAGATAAATTGGTTTTGTCGATTTCACTTACCTTAGCAATCAGTTTATACTGATAGAATGTTAATCTCTCATAATCAAGGTGTTGATTTAGGGTGACTTGTCCATTTAGTGGATTTATGATGAATGTTTTTCCATACAGTGCAGATGCCTTAAAAAATGAAAATGGGCTTTTTTTTTTTTTTAGAAAATTCTTTTGAATCAACCAAATTATTGTTTGGTTGTATGTATGTGAATTACTACAGTTATTAAGATGCACTATTTTCTTATATTATACTTTCATGTAAATTAGTTGAATCTGATTCGTCGAGAAACATTTGTTAAAAAACACTATTACCCTCTTAATGATGAAACCACGCCCTCCAGTGTAGCAACAGTCAACATTTCTTGACGACGGGTGATATTCCGAAAGATATTGACTGCGCAGAATTTATGAGCGCACTTTTCAGTGTTATTTGTTTAAAACATTCAGTATAATATAATAAATACAACATGCAGTAGAGGGTACCACTGAACATTTGCACCCCTCGAAAACTATTGTCATCTTCGGTTGAACCTCGGTTGACAATGGTTTTCTTCGGGTGAAAATGTTCTGTGGTACCCTCAACTACATGAATTATTCATATAATGATCATATCTCTAAAATAGAGGTAAATATTATTTTTAGAATTTAATTGAAGCCCTCAATGGAAGTTAATCATAAGAAGAATCTTTAAGTTCTTTTTTTAATTTGAAATGAAATTTTAGGATAATTCTCAGCAAAATATCTAATTTCTTGGCCGGCAGACTGTAAATAACAAAAACAACATGTTAATTATTGTTATCTTAGCAATCACTCAAAAGGGGTTTCTCATTAAATAGCAAACCAAAAAAAAAAAAAAACCACATTCATTATAAGACTATAGAGATAATAACCTCCATATCATATGACACGGATCCTCCGGGTCCATTATCAGGGTCGGTAGCAGAGATGGAGATATTGATGGGAACAGCTAAATCATGATCCTAATTAAAAGAGATGACATTTATTCGGGAAAGGTTATGTTGTAGCTTAAATAATGAATAGCTAGGTAATGTTGTATGCAAGTATCAATAAATCTTATATAAAATACTTATATAACAGAATCTACCTCTGGAACTTGGATATGGTACGCTGGTTGTGAGAATTTAGGAGCGACATCATTTACGTCATTCACAAAAAGGGTTACCTCTAAGGCGGACTACAAAGTTAAAATTCGTTTTCATACACACAATAATCAAAATCTTTCAACAATTGAATATCTGTGCTAGGCCTGTAATTGCGAACAAGATCTTACCGAAGGAGCATCCTTTTCGACGCTAGCTGCAATGAATCTTAACAGATGTTGTGAATGTGTCTGAAAAATAAATTCAACAACTCAGACTTATTACTTTATGACAGCTTTTCTGTGTAATTATGGATTAAGAAAATGTGTTAAATATGTAAAACTACGTTTTTCAATAGAACATATTTAATTAAACAATAAAATGCGTTTTTGCTATTAGTTCGGGAATTAATGTTGCAGCTGTTACAGAAAAAATGCATAACCCCGCGCGCGTTATGTATTTTTTTTCTGCAATAGCTGCAACGTTAATTCCTGAACTTACAAAGAAAGAAAGACATTTAATTATTTATATTTATATCTGTACAAAGAGTAATTTATAGTAGAATGTAGTAGATGAAATATTGTATTATTGATAAGTACGTCATTGTATGTTTCATTCATGGAGCAGCCACTGCTCAAGAAATCCGTAGCAGTGTTTAGTGACTGATAAAGGGTACTGGTTTTCTTAAGAAATAATATTCAGTGGATGTAAATATGCATTGAATTCTTATTTTTGGATGTCGTAGTTCATATAACAGCACATGGCCGTGGCCGACAAATTGAATACCGCACATTAGCTTCAATGTTATATTTACATTCTCTAATTTTCTCTCTTCATAATGGACTTTTGCGAGAAGCACTGACTTTTACAGTCGACAGCTTACTTGGACATTTAAACTTGCCTTATGTATGGAGATACGGAATTGATAATAGATAAGAAAACCTTAATAGTGGTTATAGGTATCTTGTTTTGGGCACTAACATTAACTGGTATGTAATCAATACAAGAAATGATGGGAGGCAGAATTACATAGCTTAAATTACCTTATTTGTGGGGTTAGTACCTCCTTTCAATCTCATTTTCTGAAGGAATCAAATAAGGAAAAAACATTCCAGACGGAAAACTAAGCATGAGTTGGTCAATATGGGAAGGGAGGGGGTTGAGGGTAAGGTGGTTGCCGTTTCCTTCCTAGACAACGTAATATATGCTTCGAAATGGCCCATTATTATCGTTTAATTAGCTGTTAAGCTTAATATTTATATCACGAAAGAGCTTTCATACATGTATAATGTCCTAGTGTAAAAGTAAGCCGTCGATTGAAAGAGTCAGCTCTTCTCGCAATTTCCTTATTCTTTCTTTATGAATTTACCTTTCAGAAAAGGTGTGCTTAATAGAACGTAAGAGCCGTTGTTACGTGGAAAGTGAGCCGTTGTGACATGGAAACTTAAATAACGCTAATAAATATTCCAAGGGGAGAAAATGACAATTAAATTTAAATGTAAATTTGTTATATTTTTATGGTAATTTAATAGGGTAGTTGTTTTTGATTAAATTTAGCCAAAACAATAGACATTTTAGTATTTTAGAGATAATGTATATAGTTTCTACTGTGTATTTTACCGCACAGTGACAATGTTTCGTGTGTGTTATATAGGTAGGATATTGAATGTTGCAGATTTCCAATTGATTTTATAAAGAAAATTGCACCGAATGTAAATATACAATTTTGAAATTGACTTCAATATTTTTTTTCCAGTTGTTTTTTTTTTATATAATTTTTGATAACTATTACATGATTACCACGTACAGTTAAAACAAGTTAAATACTAATTGTGGGAAGAAAACACTTCACATTAAACTTATCAGGAGTGACATTCTTCAGATCACAGCATAAGCTAAATATTTAGAAAAAATGTACGACACATACAAATTTACAACCTCTCTATCTAGATTCTTTTTCAGAAAAACTCCCCAGGTACCACTTTGTGTATGTTTGATTGTAACGAGGTCACTGGTTTCTCCTGTTGCTATAACCGTTACAGTTCCACCATTTCTGTCTTGTGCTGTGATACTGAAAAGCTTCGTACCTGTTATTGTAATTGATATACTTCTTATTAAAAATAAATGTTGTTCTAAACATGTCTTTCATATGTTTCAGAATTCTTATATCAAATTAAAATGGTATATGAATCAAAATTTGTATGTTCATACCGGTATTCAAATATATACTCCGTGCGATTCGAACCGAATTTTTACCCACAAGAGGATGTTATTGTAAACTTGGATTAGATTTATATGATTTCAAATGAGAATGTTGCCTTCTTAAATTATTTTATACTCAGTGTTACAGGAATTAAATTTTATATTAACCGATGAAAGACTTTGTGTTTCAAATTGCAGACTACATGGAATGCATCATGGAGGTATTATCAAATGCATGTAATTTGAATGAATTTATGTTTTATTTTTTCTTTAAGAAAAAATGAATTAATACTTTTACAACCAATCTGACAGATGCGGACTCTGTTTTGGTTGAATGATTGATTGATTGTTTATTGTTTAACGCCGAGTCGGCAATATTTCAGCCATGTTTCGGCGGATATGTTTTGGTAACGAACAACCAAATCCGATTATGTGAGCATGATAACACCCCCCCCCCCCCCAATCCTTTTCATTTTTCTACATGCTTTTGATTACATTATTGACAATGCTCGACGTGGGAGTAAATCATCTTAAATTCTTTTATTTTAACACCATGTCTCACCAGTCGTCATTTCAAATCGCGTCTTCAGAGATATTTCAGTTGCCATTCTTGATTTTATATTTACGTAAATTAAGGTCTTCCGTTCCAACGGAAGACCTTCTACTGATTCTGATGGTTAAGATTATTATTCTTTTTTTTTCTTCTTTTTCCTAGACGCCAACTTTGAGACCTCATATCTCGTTTATAGACGTTACAAAACTCTATCAGAATGCTGTCAAACAGTTCAAAAAGTCACTTCCGCTTTTGAGTTATTGCCCTTTAAATGAAAATTTATTAGGCTTCATTTCCAGACAAAGGCTCCGAGACTACAAAAGCTGGAGCAGAAATTCTACCGAATTTAGATAATAGAAGGATTGAAGTTGTGCACATCGGTTTTTGTTTCTCGATTTCTGTATTCAAAATGGCGCTAATTAGGGGTCAAAATTTAGAACGCCTAAAAGAGCGAAAATTTAGACATATTTTCTTTTGTATCTTTAAAACTAAAAATATTTTGATAAGACATGTAGAATAAAAGTTGTGCACAATTCCAAGGCCTTTCATTTGACACCACTAAAAAGGGGCTGGCCCCTCAAATTAGGGATCTGGAGCCCTTTAAAGTTTTTGCTTTATAACTCAAAAACGGTAAATATTTCGAAATCGCTGTCGTTAAAAAAGTTGTTCTTTAACATCTTATTGATTTCATGAAAATGTTATTTTGTTCGAATCTTGTGTTTTAAATGCGCCAGAAGCTTGACCCATATACAGGTAACTGTTTTCATTCAGCAAGTAAACGAGAACTCTTCATGCGTGTAACTAAAATAAACTTACTATAAATAATAAAACTGGCTACATTAGATGCTAATATTCTTTAGAATAAGGTTCTTGAAGTGTTTTGTGCTTTATTTCCAAGTTATTTTTTGACCACTTTTCCTTTTATTTAATTTTTTCAAAGTCGAATAAACCAGTCTACTAAAAAAGGGGGAAAAAAGATAACCTTTTCTTCTTATCACATAAAAACAAACAATATACTGAGAAAATAAAACATAACTTTGAAGCATAGACTATTTACAGCCATTAAGTGTGCACCTTTTACATTCACCTTGTGTGTTTACAATTATGTAACACCTCCCTTGATAGCGCGTGGCAAAGGAGGTCACCGGGGATCAATCGGCGTGTGTGATCCAGCGACCTAGTCATACACAAAACAAATCATAGAATGGCCATTCCAAATTCATTTTGTAAACTAAGTCATGAGTGGATAAATATGTTGAATCTTTCAGATTATTTCATAATATCTTTGATTAAATCGCTAGTGCATTTTATTTAATATTTTATTCGCTGAATTACTGGAAAGTTGCATAGTTATTTTTATAAACAATTTATTTCTCGATATCGAGTTAATTGTCTGTTTTATTCATAATAAAATTCAAAATATGTAACCTTAATTAATTCCTACTAGTAATGGAACTTTTGAAACTTAAATGTACATGTATGTAATCTAATATACGTTCTTTTGTCGACGCCCTTAAAATGTACAACTGTATACATACAAAGCGCCCCAAATACATGTATATGCATATCGAGCGTATGGAAATACAAAATCCCACATTCACACGCGCCTCCAAAATATGTAGAATGAGACATACATGCGTAACTGTATTTGAATATTACAAATTTATTAGACACCTAACCTTGAACAAATTATTTTTTTCTACTAAACTTGTTATTGTATGCGAACAAAATGATAAACATGTAATTATTTATAGGTTCCCATTATTTTTTCTGAAAATCAGAACACATTTATCAGCTCTCTTAAGGTTTTACGGATACATACAATGTACACGCATGCAAGTACAGAACATGCACGTTTTATAAGTGCATATGCAATGCGCCCCAAATATATGTATATCGAGCGTTTGAAATTCAGAAAAATTCTAAATCTCAAGTCTTTTTTTCCCATTATCTTTGCAATAAAATATCGGTTAAACTGAAATGATTTTATTGATTTACAACATATATTAAAGTCAATTATAGGTCCGCTGAGTTGATCATGAGTTGTTTTCATAACGGGTAGTCCTCCTGGCCAGTCATCGTCACGGTTTGTAACATCGTAATTACACAGGTAAATACTAAGATGTCAATCCATATATTTTCCATAAGAAATGAATTACCGGGAGATGTCTCGTTTTCTCTGATCATATATTAATTGACAGAGTTTATGAACAGCTGTTAAAACATAGGCCTTTGTAAACCGGTAAATCACAAAAAAGAAAAATCCGAGACAAAAAACAGAAAATATAAATGTCTTTGGAAATAACATTGCCTTTAGATAACTAAAATAAATTAATGTCCGCCGATTTTTGAATTAATCTGAACATTCATTGATGTGTACCTGTACAAGCAGTGTGTATATTTTTATGAAGCCTTCGTCCAAACGAACAATATAATAAATCTTGAATGAATTAACTAACCCCTCAGTACACACACATTCGCCTACACCTGAAATCTAATCAAAATCAGATCTTTTTTACGGCCCGAAATTCTGATAGTCGCTGTATTTCTAATCTGATTGACTATACATGTACAGTACAGGCAACGCGGATCCCGTATTTCCCGCGCCCCGTCGCGGTATAAACACAACGCGGGATTTGGCCAGGTGAGACAGGTAAACCGCGTTCCCTCCGCGGGAAATTCATCACCTACCTGTCCCCGCCGTGGTTAAATCATCGATCAACTAGTATCGTAAACAAACGGGAGTTATCTCCCCGAACAGGAATTTTGCGAAATTCCCTCTTTAAAAAAAACATATTAAAATCCCGCAGTGTATGTATATTTATGAAAGTATTTTCTTTTATTTTGCAAAAGGTGAAAATAATGAATGAACAAAAAAAAAAAAAAATGTAAAGCAGAATATATTTAATCGTTTTTTTATTTTATTTTATTTATTATTATCAATTTTGTTAAGCGACATATTTTTTAAATAGTATCAAGAAAACTATTTATAAGCTGAGTCATTTGAGAGTTTAACGTGACAAATTTTAATGTCGGAAATATAAGTTCTAATAACTTCTCTTTTCAAATTATATGCGAACTGCAATGTTACATACACGTGCTAATCAATAGTCAGTGCGAGTTCCGATTAACAGTTTTCAGCATTCCTATGAGGAAAAAAATATATCTATATACTGTTCATGTTTTTTTTTTTTTACCAAATTTAGAACAATATAATTCATTTAAATAATTTCACTTTACTGTGTTAATGTGCAAGCATTTCCCTGAAATTGTCGAATGACCGGAAAGCTGTAAAATTCGATGGTGAGCGTTTGCAGTGAGTGGGCGCGTGAACGTTATAAAAGATATCAATAAAATATAACAATTTTTTTCCCTCGATATTTACTTCTTTTGTAAACAGTGGTTTGTTTTTAAATTAAACATTTCTCCAATTACAGAAGATGGAATGTGCATGGTGATGTACTTCACAAAACAATTAAAACGAGGGGGGGGGGGTATATCACTAAAACTTATTATTATGTTCCCCAAACGAAGTTTGGGAACATATTGTTTTTACTCTGTTTCTTATTAAGGTCTTCCGTTTCAGACGGAAGACCTTATAGTGATTCTACTGTTTATTATTATTATTATTTTTTTCCCGTTTTTTGTCCAAGCGATTTCTCAGAGATGGCTCGATGGATTTTCTTGAAACTTTCAGGGATTATGACAAATAAAATAAACTAAAAATATTTTTAAAGATTTTGCCAAATTCACTTCTGGTCGTCAGATATGTCCAATTTCCGTTTTTTCAAAAGAGATCATGTCCGGACGATATCTCAGAAACGGTAAAAGATTAAGACTTCAAACTTTTAGGGATTATAGATCATGACAAGTACGTTTGCAGAATATGTTTAAATCTGTCAGCCGTCACTTCCGGTCGTCACAGGAGGAGATCAAAGAAATCGAAAATTTTAACTTTTCTTATTTTAATTAAATCTTGCATCGCATTATTGCATCTGTTTAACAGTTTCGAAATATGTTAGTCCCACCGGAAACAGAAACGTCAACTTCCGGTTATAAGAGAAAAACTACATAATTTGAGTATTTTACTTTCCAATAAATATCGCTTATAGATGAAGTATTTGAAATGATTTTTAGATATGTTATTTAGTCTGCAAATGTCTAGAGTAACGTCAAATATCTTGGTAAAATTCACTTCCGGTCGCGTGTTTTACTGTCCGCAAAATAAGAACTTGTCAAAGTGAGATCTCAGAAACGGTAAGAGATTAAGACACCAAACTTATATGAGTAATAGAACTTAATGAGTAGGCAAAACCTTTTGGGTTAATAGCG